ATTAAAATATTCTTCAAAAACATACAAAATTATATTATCATTCCTTATAGAAAATATGCTCACCTGTTGTTCTAGGATCATGTTCTTTTCTCGCTCTACATTGAGAACCATTCTCTTTGTATATTCTAGTTGCTTCTCTAGAAGAGTACAACGAGACTGGGCTGAGCTTAACTGTATACTTATATCTAAGAAAAAGACAAAATAATAACGAGTAAATTATCTGATTATCACATAGATCAAACTCTGATTTGATTAACACAAGAAATTATGTGAATTCAATCAAGAGCTAAAAGTTTAGGGCCTCTTTTATCTTTGAGTATTGACTTTTCCAGAGTTATGAAAATACATTTGTAAACAGCTCATTAATTACATAGAACTGGTTTAATATTGCCTCCTCCTAAAAACCCAGAGGGCATACTTCTGAAAGATGAGGATGTCAGTAACTTGCGAGATGATAAATATCCTGGTTGTTGATGGAAATAACATCATCTGGAAAAACAGGCTGAAAGTTTCTTACCTATCAATTCATTTCTTTTCTTTTGGGAAACTCAAGTATATGCATCTACCACTCTCATTTTCCCCTGTTCTTGACCGCTGGCAGCATAGTTAATTCCATAGCAGAAAACCTATTTCTAATCATTTAACTCTTTACTTTTTTTACCCCTTTCTTCCACTTTTGTCTAATTACCTCAGAAATCATTTTTCCCCATTTCTTCATTCTACGTCTAAGTTGAAATACAAACTTGAGCCTTGTTTATGAGGATGAGTGTAGTGTAATAAGGAAAAAGAAGTCATAAGTTTTGAAGTGAAATTATATAAAAGACTTATGTTCTAAATTTCCAAAACTTTTCATAATTTCCACAGAAGCCTCCCCCATTTGCCTATTTCTTCTAATTAACCTTTTTTTTCCCTTTCCAGTTAAATAAAATTCTTTTGTATACATTTTTATTGCTTTTATATTCTTTAATTACTAGTGCTGTTTTGTATTTCAAATTCTAAAATTTAGTGTTAACTGCAAATATAAAGTATTTCAGTTATGGGTTAAATTGGATCTTATTGGTTATTCTGAAAATATTCTAATTTTTAAACACAACTTGTCTGAAATCCTAATTTTTCCTTTAATTTCTAGAAATTATGAATTATGATAACAGATATGATAGAGGTAAGTTCAAACTATATCTTTTTCCCACAAATATCAAAAGGTCTGAAAACATGGTCACAAGGTTTGAATATATATAAGAACAAAGATATCTGAGTACATTTGCTTAGACCAGGCTTATTATTTTTGAAGTGTAAACTTCAGTAACCCCTGGTTTCTGAGAACTACTGCATTTCTTACCTTTTTTCTGCTTTATCAGCTCCTGGTGTGCCAGATTTCTCTCATTTGTTTCATTCTCCAAGGCCTTCTTATACTGTGCCGCTTCTTTGGAAAGAATGTTCAGGTTATCTTCAGCCTGTGTTCTCTCCAGCTCTAAACGATGAATTTTTTCCTGAAGAGTTTTTAAGGCTAAAATAAGAGCTGTTGAAAAAAATTTTGTTGATGGTTTAAGTGGAAGTTTCTGAACACTTACAATCACAGTAACTTAAGAAAAATAAGCAGTATATTTTTGTTAGTGAGCCAGAAAAATGTACAAGTAATAATGCATATTCTTCAAAAAATGAAAAATAATAACACTCTAAAGAGGGGCATATTTTTCCTTTTTTTTTTTTTTTTTTTTTT